ACCAAACGTCAAAAGCGTGTGTGTGTGCAACAAAGGATTTGTGTCCATAGAGAAATAGATGCGAGAGAGTGAAACAAATCCACCGGAATGCTTGAACATCAAACAAGAAGTCTTGTCATAAGTCTTATGAATTCAACAATAAACATGATATGTCGAATATGCGATTTTATTGGTTCTAAATCGCAAACTTGTATTGTCACTCGACCAGATGTAAAAACTTGTAAATACAAGACGAAAGAAAACGAAATTGTATTCAGAAAAACTGATGCGCAAACATTGAAATCAATTCAAATCGGAATGCTTAGATGTTGTTCTTGTTGTTTTTGTACACTTCTTTTTGCACTCTGCCACTCATAATATTTCATATGTGCTATGGTAGTGAGGGCTACTGCTGAATATGACTAAGCAAATATTTTCTATTTGATTCATTTTTATTATTTGCATTTTGCCGATTGATCATCAACATACGATTTTCCATTCGATCCATTGATTTTTGATTGCTATTTTACGTTTGAGATGTGCGAGTGCGCTTTTCTCATATATTGGCACTTTGAACAGAAAACCTTTTTGATTCGTAGTAATGTGCCACACATACACTCCCATACACACGTCAAATAACAAATCTTTTTGACAATGCAATAAACAAGCCGAAAAATGAACCGAAAAGTGGAAAAACGTTACCAAATAAAAAAAACCATTGACATGAAAATTCAATTGTTCGTAAATGTATGTAGTGTGATCTTCACATGCACACGAATTGTTTTTGTTTTTACCTCAATTTTATGTAAAAGAAGTAACAAAACAAATCGCATACCTAAATCAAATTGAAAGGGATTTTTTTTTGGGTGTAGACTGGTTTTAGTTGCTATTGCACTTATTTTTCAAAAAATTGACTTCGAAGTGTTTTATAAAAATAGCTTTCTTCTGTTGTTATTAGCTTTTCTACGATGACAGCCAGACTGACAATGACACGCACGGGCACGAACACAATATAAAAAAGGCATGACGTAAACCATACAAAGGCGTAAATTTTATTTTGTACCAAATCAGTCAAAACGAGAAAAATGATCCGCACAAAATGAAGTGAAAATAAAAATAAAGAAATTCCCTGGTTCAGATTACAATCGAAACACCGTGAATTTTAGATAAATTCCCCTTGGTATTCCACAACAGCATTGAAAATCGCCATTACCTTACATCGAACTTTAACCTATTTCAGAATGTAAGGCATCCTTTTATATCCATTCTAGGGGGTAGACACGTGGAATAGGATTAGACTTTTAGTGTAAAAATTCGAGAAATTAAAGTGGAATAGACAATTCAGTAGTTGGATTCACATTGATTTACTAATCCCATGTATGGAATAGCGAAAATGGGTTAGATTCAATGTTTTTGTAATCGATAGTACAGAATTTGATCAAAGCATTGAACTTGTTTTGAGATAGTAATTTGTTCTTTTTTGATATATTTTTTAGTTTAAAAGTTGATTACAAATTTACAAAACAATAGATAGACCTTCTCAAAATTTTATTGATGTAAAAAATAATTTGAATTATCAATAACAAAATGTCATACTCCAGTGTCGATAAATAAGTTTTCAACAAAGTGAATAGCGGCGAAATGTGACATCATATTTGACAATGAAATGACGGATTGTTGGAATAGTAGGATTAATGTTTATATATTAGAATCATGGTTTAATCGTTTGTGTCTCCCCCCTAGTATCCATTATCAAATATAACAATACTAATCGCAAAAAATGATCGTAAAATTCGATGAGAATTCATGCCTAGTTTGTATCTATGCAAATATCATCAGCGAATGTAGACTGCAAAACACGGATGCTGTCAGTGTGAGTTCAACTGACAAGGTCAACACAATAATAATGATCAATTTTGTTAAATACAAAGAGCAACTTAACCGCTGAATTCAAAATTTACAAAATTTATCGTTATTTCATTTGATCTGTGCAAAAACCGAAATAATCTAAACTGATCTGCATTTCATTTGGTTGGAATTTAAAAGCTTAAATTCTGTATCTCTTTCTATCTTTCTCCCATTGTATTTCTCTCTCGTTCTCTCATTGTCGAATATTTTCTTTGTGCTTTTGTTTAGTTACCATCACGTTTGCACAATAGATATTTGTATATTCGTGAGTCGGTTTCCCATTACAATGTATTTTTTTGAAATTCAGACGGTAACATTGCTCATACACAGCACACAAGCTATTTGATTTTAATTAGAATTCGGTGTTAGCATCAGCACGAATCCAGTTTACTTGGTATGCCAAACACATACACAAAAGTCGAAAATGCAACGAGAATATCTAGAAAAACCGACGAACTGTGGCAACTGTGTTTTTGAATTTGGCTGCTTTTCCTTCCTTATCGATTTTGCCCATTTTGGCAATTTAAAATTTATGACGATTCGTGTTTTTCTACGGGCATGCATTGGAATTGTGTGTATATATGCGCTGAGGATGTGATATCAGTTTGTTTTATATTATAAATATGCGTGTTTCGGTTGTTACATAACGGTTTGGTGTAAGAGATCGTTAATATCGAGAGAACAAGCGAAAACTGAGTGCACGATTCCTTCGCCATGTGACATGGTAGTGACATGAAAAATCGCTAATACAAATATGACAATATATACATAATACACATTCTAGAGTACATTGAACGGCGAAATTTATATCGGCAAAATGATTTTTTTCGCTTCTCTTCATATGTCTTCTTGTAAGCACTTTTCTGTTCATTGCGTCTATTGTATAAGAGTAAAATTTATACCAACTGGATCAATAAAAAAACGCGCATTCATATAGAGTGGCAGTATCATCGACACACCAAATGTGGATTTTCGGTTAATCTTGTGAAACAAAAAATAATAATAATAGACTATATTGATGCGGCGAGTTTTGGATTCAGCTCACATTTACACAGACATACACGTAATGGCAGCCATTCTTGCCTCAAAACATGAGAGTGTGTACGACCGCAACAACAACAACAATAAAAAGTAGACAGTGAAACGGGCGTTTATCGTTTCTCATGGTTTATGGAATGGATCGGAAAATAAATAACGAAATTGGATATGTACTATAATCTCAATGAATTAAGTCGCATTTGAAACAAAAGAGAGTGAGAGCCAAAAACGTGGTAGGATTGAAGTGTGTTATATATTATTTTATTTACGTTATAGATGTGAATATGTAATATAGCAGCAACTGTTCGGTGACATACATATATATATTACGCTAATAGAAAATTGAAAAACGAATGCTTTATATCATATCTTCCAGAGTTGAACTAGCATGAGAAGAAATACATCACTTGGCAACCACAAAACTGAAAACCAAAATACAGTTTACCATTGTCCCTTTTTGTCGCAGAGAAAAATTTATTTACATGCATTACATTTTGGGCACATACACATATTAGTTGCCATTTGTAAAATTACATTTTACCAATAAAAATTGTTTTCCCATTGGAGGCCATCGAAATTCCGGTCTACATATGGCAGTAATGGTTAAATGGTTATTTAATAGCAGTTTCATTTTGCCGTTTTCTTTTACTTTTCCGCACACCTAGTGTAGGGAAGGTATTGTATTAGGCCAAAAAATTAAAGTCATCCCAAAACATGTTTTCTATGCATATTTAATGTAGAAAACACGATTGGAGATGATTTTGGGGCATATTAATGTGCGTCGCTGTGTGTGATGTGTCCTGTGTCCTGTGTCCTGTGGCGTGTTGCCAAAATTTGTTAACACGATAAATCCTCTTCCAAAAACTCAATTCAAATTTTGACTTTACAGGATGATTTGGGACTACTAGGAGACGTGCTGATTAGTTTTTGAGCAATATCTGTTGACCGGTGTAATTTTTTTGGTCCGAATGGAGTACCCACAATCCCACATCCATACATTTTTGATCATTTCTCAACCATTTTGGTGACACGATGGTTTCGTGCTCAGACATGAAATTCAAAATGTGACTTCACGGGATGATTGGGCACTACGAGGAATAAATCTGGTCAAATTTTCAACGACATTGATTGATCGGTGTAAAACTTAGACTCTGAAGAGGCACTTATGAGAAAAATGCCTTAAAATGATATTCTTTCAATTTGAACGCTGAACGAATGTGTAGTGGGGGGAGAAACCCGAATCTGATGTTAGTTTTAAGATGCAATCAATTTTTCACACACTTTTCATACAAAAATCCACAAAAAGTTTCATTTTTGTATGAAAGACTTGCCTTTGTAGTACCGTAATGATCTGAAACTTTGAACAGGCTATTCTTTGGATTGAAATTTCTTTAAACTTGGTGTGATTATTTATTTTGATAAGAAAATAATATTCACAAGTTTTCACGGTAATTTAAGTTACTGCAACCATACAAAGACCATGATTTCAGTTTATTCCCAAAATTTCGGTTCCATGCGGAAAAGTCAGCTTGCGTACGTAAGCCTCTTTATTTGAAATTGTGCCGTTGCGCTCGCAATTGATATCAACTAAAAATGATGTGAGTGTTCTCACGAGCGCGCGCTCTCTCTCTCTTTCTCGGCTCCGATAAGAAGAGAGGTACGCAGACTTCAGTGTTTCATAAGTGTGCTTCAGAAGAATATGTGTTGTCCAGCGAAAAACCCAAGAAAATCGAAGAAGAATCATCGGAAAAGTGAAAAGCAAAAACTGATCATCATCTCCCGCCGAAAAAAAATCAAAAGATTTGAAAAGTTCAGAAGGGGGCAAAACTAAATTTTTCCGTTTTGCAGACCGGAGAAAATCCTAAACGCTTGTGTCACCAGGGGTCAGGCGATGAAAACCGCTCTCTCTCTCCGAACATATGCGAGACAAAAATGACAAATTTATTTTTCTTCGTCTGTGTGCATCACTTAACTCAATTGAAAGCCATCATTTATAAATTTTTCACAAAATATTCACATTTCTATGTTGGTTTCAAATAGTTAAAACAATTTATTTTTCACTCGCATTAATGCAGGTGTATTTGGTGTTTCGAAGCGGCGGAAAACCACCAGAGGATTCGGGTGTTAAATCATCGGGTGCGAAATTCATATGTCGATCGCAGGCACGACCAATTGGCAATGCATATCCAAGTACCGCAACCTCTTCAACAACACCACTTGGAACTAATATCGGTGAGTAATTTTCGTATCCAACTAGAGTTGTCAACATTCAAATTCGAACAAAGATTTCCACAAAAATTTACACATTTCAGGTGAAAGTTCTTTCTCAATTTTTTTTTACCATGATTCAGAATATTTGTAACCTCCAGTAGAATCAGTAATTTAAATACAACAATGATATTTCTTCAACAATGTCAAAAAAGTTTTGTTGAACATATTTGTGATTTTCAATTCGAAAAGAAATTGATTTCGAGTTGGTTCAACAACTCTGCTGTTACAAAGTAAATGCTAGATTTTAACTGAATTGGAACATTTCCAAAGTATACATTGTACATCAAAAAAATTGTTTACAATCTACAATACCCAATGAGGAATTGTAGAATGTATTTTTATGCACGTACTTTTCAAAAATATGACAAAATTTAAAAAAAAAGCATGAAAACTCAAACACACACAAAGTGTGCACGTGATAGACTCTGAGTTTCATGGTCTCTGAAATAACCCACATGTGCACACACACCATATAAAATATCGTTACAAGAATGAATATGATACACATTCGCAATGATAGTAATTGTTGGCATTACAATTTCAAAATATCTGCATTGAATACATTACAATATTATCAGCATGGTAATTTCAACTTTAATGCAATTGATTTTACAGCCAAATGTATTCGGAACATCCTTAAATATGTGCAAAATTCACCGTTAAATAAAAGCAACTCGCCTTGCCCAACAATACGCGTATGCATATGAAAAGAGCTTTTGTTACGGACGCTCGAATATATTAATATATAACAAAGTATAAAAATATAATTGAAACTTTTCAAAAGTCTGAAACAATGCAAAAATGCATACATTGCAGATTATATTATGTGGGCTTTTAATTTGTATTCATAGCTTCAGGTGTTCACACAAAACACGTTTAGGTTTGGATTTTCACAGTCTTATACGTATTAAATCTTATCCAATTATTTATAATTTGGACTGTAATCCAGCCGTGGTTCCAGGCATTTCTCTCCACGTAGTTAAATGCAAAGCATTTTCTTTTTATGTTTCATCGTATAAAGTTAGCAACAAATGTGGACATTTATGAGTTTTAGGCGAGAGGAGGAAAAATATGCAATTAAATGGGGTTGTACGTGTCCAAAAAAACAATATCGTTTCCGTAGGAGCAAATTCACAATATGCCACTAGCAAACAACAAAGTGTGAATTAAAACACAAACTGGCTGTAATATAAACGAATGAACATTGAGATCGTTGCAATTTTGTTGCATGCATACAAATCTCTGTTTAAGATGAAATCACATCATCTACCATAAAATTTTACATTCATTTTGGTCGCAATTTTTATCTAATGCTTACCATGTCCATGATTGAGTAGATAAACAACACACCCAACCTATTACCATTTTGTAGTTGGTTATAAACTGATGCAGTTTTGAAAAAGTCACGAAAGTGACTGCATGTGAATGTATTCTTGTATTTTTTTTTTCATTAAAAAAATATGTGCAACAATGTTTGAGAAATTGAAATATCCTGTTGGCACGATCTCGTTTAGTGTTTTGAATGCAACACCAAGGATGTAAGGTTAAAAGTGAAAAAAACATACACACAAAAGTTTTACTTTAAATTTTTTAAAGCAAGAGCGTTTGTGTAAACATTTTTAAATCTACATATTTGAATTGTGAATCGGCAACAAAGTCACTTATAATTTTGTCAGGCTGTTTTGCATTATTTTTGCTTTCATTATTAAAACGTTGTGTGTGCACACAATGTAGTGCACGAATAAACATTGTGAAAATGTTGCTGCCAATCTGATGAAAACGTCTTATATTTTGATCGGTTTTTTTTTTCAAAGTGAATCACAAAATATGCAAAATATGAATATATGAACCATAAATAAGTGATAATACACTACCATAATAAAGTTTCAGACCATTTTCCATACAATTTCATACCAGTTGACAATTTTTTAGGGCATTATTTATGAAATTCCGGAAATAGCTTGAACCTTATTTTAATATCTATAGGGACTGAATCAGTGAAGTTTCACCAAAAAATATCTAAGAGTTCAAAAATATCATCCGTTTGAATTTATATTGTATAAAATATTATAGTTACAAAAATATTTGCTTGGACTGAAATTTTGACATGTCGTATTCAATGTATACTTAAACTCTCCGCCCATTAAATATATGCACACACATATCTATTTGATTGCCCGTTGATATTTACTTATGATGAACCGATCAGTTTCATTTCTCCCGCTACCACCACTCAGTATCATTAGCTATGAAACTTGATACTTATTTGAATTGTAATCGAATAATTTATGACGAAACTCACATATATCATTGGCACAGCAACAACACAAAACTGAACAAATGAAATGTTATTTGTAGATTCATCGGCGTTTGAATTGTGTGCGAATTACGAGAATAAATGATTGTTAATTAAACATAATATGACGTTAGTTGGCATTTGAGCCCAATTTTGATATGACTAATAAGCGGACGATAACATCCCATCTATCATCACAGATCAATGACCACACAGTTAATTGATTTCGATTTGTAACAACTTATTACACTAATTATGCAATATAGGAATGAATTGCATGTTTTTAAAGTATTATTTAAATAGAATAAAAAGATAAGATAAGATTTTTGATAAGTTGAAAAGTTTGCTTTGAAATGAAAATTGAATTTATTTTTAAAATTCCAGAACATCGACTCACCGATCAGGAAGCCAACGATGAAATTCGATCGTTATTACAAAATTTCATAATTCAATTGCAATCGGTAAAAGATCGAGTACCATCTAGAGGTTCAGCAATGGCAACCATTTCAATTCTATTGGATACAACGAAACCATTATCAAATTTACAAATGTCTTTAATGCCGCCCACGCTAGCTGCGACAACCGCCATAAAAAAGCCTGCATTCGCCATTCACAATTCGGTAAGTGCCCTTCCTAATTACGTTTGCCAAATATTTTATTTGAAATTTTCACGTGTCAAGTTCAAATAAAATGTATGTAGTTTACCATAAACAAAATCAAAGGTTCAACATACGTGAATATTAATAAGATGTACTTATCTTTCTTGAAACTAAAAAAAAAAAATAGACTGTGGACAAAAGTACGAATACAAACACAATAGCAACAACGAGCAACGGTGGTACGTCCAATCATTTGACACATCATATACAAATGCAACCGAATCAGAAAAATGGCTCGATTACAACAACCATGTGTTCAACACAAATTTCAATCACAGACACCGGCTGTGATAAGCTACCCGACATCGAGTCGATTTCGGTTTCAGGTGAAAAGGCAAACGAATTACCCGAGGGTAGTATAATGAGTGAAAAACATAATCAAAATGAAAATACATTGATGGATGCCACCAACTGCCAACAAACTAAACCAAAAACGGATGACGGCAGCGACAAAGATGGAAACGGTAACGATGATGGTGGTAATGCGAACAGCGGTAACAATGAACATGATAGACCCGAATTGAATTTTCTAAATTTGAAATTGCAATGCATGTGCAGCAGCACAGATGTCGGTGGCGATAGTGGAAATGTGATAGCAAAACCAAATGTCAATGCGATTAGTAATCGGGTGAGTGGAACCATCGACGATGAAACTGAGATCGAAATCAGTGACGTTGAAGCTGTTACCGAAATCGGTGAATCCATTTTCGAAAATCATCGGTGCACACACTGTGGCCGGGGACATTGTTGTTTCTTCTTGCGGTGCTGTTATTGTACAGCGAACGGTGTATTTAATGAAAGTGATAGCATGGCAATTGATGCGATGAATACAAATCAAATGGCATTACATGAAAACAATCCATGCCAAAGTGAATGCGATGCAAATCGCATTGCAAATAGCAATAATATATCGAAACAACATCAATCCATAGATAGTAGTAGTAGTAGTAGTAGTTTTATGAAAATAGGCTCGAATCAAAATTTAGCAAGTAAGCGTTGTGATGAAATTTGTGAAATAATACGCAATCAATATGAAACTGGGTTGTGTAATACAACAACAGCACCACTAACAACAACATTAACAACAAAAATGTTTGCAAGAAAACAATGCTGTGAAGAGAGTAGTGGCAGTGATAACAAACATTGCACAAACGTAACTAAATCAATAGCAATCGGTTGCCATTGTCGATGGTATTGCATTCAAGATTGTGATTTGGATGCAAAATCAACGACGGTTGTTACCGGCGAAGACAATGTTGATCACCATCAACGGCTTAAAACCGAAACGACAACATTAGCTGTTGAAAAGCCTGAAATTGTGTCGCCAATTACAAATGAATCGCCATTGAATGATGAAAATCGCTTACGTTGCTGTCGCTGTTCAAAGGAACTCTTTTGACATACTAAGAATTCCGTTATAAACGACAACGCCATGAACGACAACGACAACGACAACAATGGCGAAAATGATGGCAACAACGACGATAATAATATCGATAAACTAACCGAATGTACAAACATTGAGAAAACAACAAGTAGCAACACTTCAGTCAATAGCCAAACAAAAAGTGCTGATGATGATAAAAAACCGTCGTCGACAGCAAACGTTTCGGGTGGCATGAATACGACAACATCGAAAAAAAAGCTCGTGCTCGATTTAAATGATCGGAGTAAATATACAAAAGTGGTTTCAGTGTGATGAGACAAACAATAGGGAAAACTCACTCTCCATACAAAAATCCACAGTGAAGTCAAATGCATTTCAAGTAAATTTCTTGATTCGAAATGGGATCACTCGACTATTCATGGGCAGCAAATATTCCATTTTTGTTGCTCTCTCTCTCTCTTTTATTACGATCTCATATAAACCATACACAATAAGCGATTCGATTCACTTTGCCATTTCCGAAAATCGTCATTTTTTCACACTCGTAAATAAAGTGCGGTCGGCTTTTACAGCCGTTTATTGCGAAAATAACTCTTGAAAACCACAGCATTCCTGGAAAATGACAAAGAGAAACCCGAAACTACGATATACTTCAAAGCAATTGGTATTCTCATAAAGTGTACAAGTTCAAAGTTATGCAAACAACAACAACAACCGAAATTCGACAGCGAATAAATGAACATTCCATATATTTTACAGTCTACCAAGAAACGTTGTCGTTTTCGTTACGACACTTTATTTTCAGAATATATTCAAATTTTCCATTCATAAATAAATTATTACCTTTTTGCTCTTTTTTTTCAGTTCATACGGTATTATCTTTCGTAAATTTCTCTCTTTGCAAACCGGAGAGTTTATTGATTTGTGCCAGTTTACTTATGAGGTTTCCTTTATTGTGATTCGTTCGAATCGTATTAAATTCAAATATATGGCAGAAATTTATTATTTCAACTCCTTTATGAAACGTAAAACCATTTTAAAACTATGGCATAAATAAATATTGATTTACAGTAAATTCGATTTGACAAACATATTTGTTTCGCATTGCAACTGTATAACAGCGATCCCTTCTTTCAGCATTCAATTTTAAAATTCATTGAGGCGATTTTCGAAAATGTAAAAAAGTTCAATTGTTGTTGGTTTCTATCGAATAGAATGAAATTTATGATAAAAAAATTGAACCATTTCACTTCAGATTCAAGTCGATTAATTGAGCTTTTCCCATTTTGTGACGCGGTGTAGGACTAAAATACATACATCGATTTGTATAAAAGTAAGATCTAGTTTCTAGTACATCTATATCAGCTTTGTGAGTTGACGATATTATTACAAATACACAAAAACAGGCTAGTGAATGACAACAGTAACAAAAATAAAACATAACATTTATACAGCAAAAGTGTTACAAAATCAAAGAGGTTAAAAAGAAAGCAGGACAAAAAGTAATGAAAATTGTTTAATCAAATGTATATGTTTCAATGTTTTTTTTTGGTTTATTTGTAAGCTATCTCATCTATTCAACGTTATATGCATTTATTTCATTAAATTTTATGAAATCTTCAAAGTTTCGATATCAAAATTAGCCAATTAAGTGAATGTCATGTTAGAAAACATTATATGTGAAGAAGAATTGTGTATGTGAAATATGTCTTGGTTATAAGTTGATTTAAAGTGAGTAAAATCGCGCACGGTTAATTATACCGTCGGAAAATAGATGTAAGACAAAAACAAGTACGTATAATAATATCACTTTGAAAGCCAATTTAGGTTGTAAGAGCAGACAAAACTATGTATAATGATTGATAGAAGTAAAATGGAGTCTCGCCGTAATTTCGAGAATCTGAAGTGTAAATTCGTATTTCCGATCATTAAACAAATTATGCATATATTTCCCACACAATATAGAGAGACGCATTAGAATGTGTATTGTAGCCACATGCTCATCATTGTGCATTCATTGTGAAACTAACGACTTTTACTTCCGACTTCCTTCCATTGTCATTGACAATGCAGTAATAATGATCTGTGATTTCAATTTACCCCCCAAAAAAAAACGAAAAAAAAAATATATAAAAAAATGCATTCATATAGAGCAAAACAAGCGTTGCCTGCCACGAAACACACCCATGCATATATGATGATGATTCAGCTGCGGTGTGTGCAATGTGCGCGTACGCGAAATGTCTTAATGACAATTAAATGAAGTTGCACACGGAAAATTAAAACGAATTTAATTGAATTTTAATGACGAAGCGCATCGCAACCTCCGGATGCATGAATAATCTAATATTTCTTGCAGTATGACACTGCTGAGTCTGAATCGCTTCGAAATAAGACATGTGGTGCGCCATATCAAATGCAGTTTCTCATTTATGCACAAATTGATGACAGTTAACTGTACATTTTCTGGCACAATAGCGTCCTATCTCGTGGATTGTATTATACACGGACCCAAATGAATGACGTGATGAACGCAAACATTTTTCTTTCTGTATTGAAAAAGAGACCTATTCATGTGCACACACACTTACACACACTTACACACACTCACATACACATTTGATTACAGTTTTACTTTAAAGATTTGATTTTCATTGCCCCGAAGAAATATCAAGAGCCCCTGATTTTCTTCGTCGATGGCAAAATCCATTGTGTGTGTGCATGAGAAAATGTTCCTTTTTATGTATGTTGCTCCTTGTTGTCGTTACAGCAGAGAGACAACATTTTGACGCTTGACACGTAAACCGTTATGTATGTCATGTTCATGAGTGATTCCGACACTTTTATTCAAAATAAAAATTCATACGAAAATGTTAAACTAACAAATAATTTTGCTCGTAACTAATGAAACTTTCTAGTGATACATAAAACTATTTGCAAATAAGGAAAAATATGCTGAGAAGGAGATAGATAGATAGTTAGATAGAGAGTGAGAGAGGGTGAGATGATGAGGAAGTTAGATAGCCACAAATCGATCAAGTCACTAGTTTGAAAACACTTGAATCAAGACATATTAGCCGTTTTCCAGTAACATATGTTTCAAAACACCAAAATGGATGGAATCACATTTTTCACTCTAATTTTTACAAAACCTTATTCTCACTCCGTTCTTTGTCCGTGATGTTGTCATCATAACAGAGTCATAGAGGAGCCACTTATACGATAAAAAATTCCATTTGCATATTTCTAATTTTAAAAAGCAATTTCAGTTAGCCTAATGTTCGTCTGTTTGTTCCAGTGCTTGTGCCAGTGAGTGTTCTGTTTTATCACTCAAACGCCATTTTCATTCTGAATCCCGTGCACTGTCATTTGCAAGCATATTTCATTCGTTTTTCCCAACAAAATGTCTATATAGCACATACACAATCGCACACATGAAATGTATGTGTGATAGAGTGAAGAATTTCGTTTCGCATGCAGTTTTTCATTGGGATTTATGTGAATATATTTAAAGCACAAAATAACTATTTAACACATTTAAAATAATTAAGCGTAAATATGATGATTTAACTAAAGCTGAAAATCAAACTACAGCGGTGTGACAAAAAAAAATAAAATAAAATGAGGTAGACAGAAAGAAGTTTGTAATTTGATTTTCAGTTATTTTTAGCTCAATTTTGACTACCAATTTACCATGTATTAAAAATAATATAAGACAAACATGTATACATAAAAAGTTTAAAATGCAATACTATAACATAATATGGTCGTAAGTTAATCACGAAAGTTTTACTACTAACAGTTTTTTTTTCTACATACACATACAGATATTGATAGTGCAAAGGACATACATGCATACATTGTACACACTTTCCGATTAAATACAGAAATTTATCTTTTTCAATTAGCTAGTTAGCTAGTTAGTTAGTTTGTAATATCTGTTAGAACTTTATTTAAGTGCTGTTTCGAGTCGAAATGTCGTTGTCATCGTCGACATCATCATCATTATTATCGTGCCATTTTCACATGGCACCAGATCGAATGGAAGAATTTTCAGCTAACTTGAATCTCATCTGTGTATTTTGGATCGGGTCCACACTCTGTCTATCAATAAACATTACACCGTTCGTGAGATAAATTTAAGTTTATTCTGTTCTGGACTTTAATGTGTTCTGCCATTCATTTTATTACATTTCATAAAAGTTTGCACAAATGCGTAAATTCGCATCATCAAAATGCATTTACATATCAGTCATATCGCAACATGACGCATATTAACATGAAAACCAAATGCACTCCCAATCCAATGTCCAATCAGTTCGATTTTGTTCTTAAATATCTCCACTACTCCGAATATTTACGTCGGCATGAGTAAGGTAAAGTTTTTAATATGAAAACCAAAGGGTTACAATTCGTCTAACTGATTCATTAAAGACATTCGATAGCTCAACATTATTTGACTCAAGATAGACCCATTATTATTGTCAGCATTTTCGTTATTGAAATTTTCTGCGTGTCATTAATAATTACTCATTATCAACGCAAACAATCCATACAAATAAATCAACCGAAATCAACCATAATCGAAAAAATAGATTTGCTGATTTAATTTTTGGTACTCTGCATGACATTAATTGTGATTTCGTACAACTAAAATTCAATGAAATTAATTAATTCTATTGATTCATTTGTGTTCATACAATAAACATCAACACGTATTAAACGTTGAGCTAGAAAGCAAACTATGAAGATTGGCACAAAATTTATGGATTAAATGTTTGCGTTTGATGACAACATGTAAAGATAATATAGAAAAGTAAAACAAAAAAAAACAAGACATGTTGTCGTTTGAATGAATTTGTAGCGATATTTTCTTTTGTAATTGAAAAAATCGATCGAAATTATTTCAACTTTTTTCAGATCTGACACTAGTCGTAGAAAACTAGTTTGTAGAAACAATGTAGATAAATTTAACTATAATAAAATCATTCTACATTCAAACACACAATAGGGTAGCTTCAAAATAGAATTTCTTTTTTTTTCTCAAATACCGAAGACGAAAATGACTGATTTCCTAACAAAATTCAATTTGTTTAATTTTGAATTCTCTCTGTTTGTAACACGAAGAAGATGATCTGAAAATCTATGGTTTTCAATCGATTTAAAAATGCTTTGCAAATCGCATATGAAAAATAAATGATTTTTGTGCATTTTTACATTGAAAAAATATTCGACATTTTTTATCATAGGCTTAGCCGATCAAAAATTCCCAAAATTGGGTGAAAACTATGAAACTCTATAATTTTTTCATTGCTAGATTTCCCATATTTTGGACTTAACATTTCAAGCTACTGCTGTTGAAACCGAAAACTTACTATGAGTAAAGCTCTTTTATAACTTTTTTTCTTCTGTACACCTCGAATTGTTTGAAACTTTAGCGACCGTTTTAACTATTAGCACAAAAATGTTCAAATGTTAGCATTCGGTAGCTTTCTACTCATTTAAACTGGTGGAGAGCATGAAAATAAAAAAAGAGAAACGTTTTGGAAATACCCTAACACACACACACACATACACAAAAAACACATTGTATATTTAAAATGAACTAAAGACATAAAATGTGATTATAAAAATAAATTGGAATGGTGGAAGAGTTTCCAAGGTAAATTGAGGAAGAAATACAATTTGGTTAAGTGGAAATAAGTGTTATTGGTATGCATCAAATTTAATACTATATTTAAAGTAAAATAGATAAAAAAAATTATATAAATATATCTAATATATACTATAAATATTACAGCTAGATGTATTTATGGTTTTATGGATGCGTCACAAAAGTTTGTTGTGTATGACATAAGATCGAATAAGAATGAGAAGAAAAAGCTGAAGAAGAAACGAGAAATAAAGTTGGAATTTTAACAAAACTAAAATCTATTGAAAGAAAATTTTATTGTAAATGTTATGAGTCAAATAAAAATATACGGTGTCAAGCTGAAAAAAGAATACAAAACCAAGAACACATTCAAAATAATCCTAACCAAAAACAAAAACAACAACTAACGAACAATTTTTAGAGAGCGTTCACAGCTCCTTAATTTATGTACTAAAGTTTAAAAGATTTTAATCGAACTACTGCTACCACATCAAATGAATTTAGATAAACACAAAAAAAACTATAGTTATATTGTAGAAATAATCTATTTAGCTGTTAAGAAATTTTCTCTATTTTATTTTTCTTTTGCTTTAATTCGGTTTTTTGTAAGAAAAAAATCTCACATCAAACACATTGAAGAAGAACAATTTTTGCGTATTCGTTGGCAAAATATACTAATTAAAATCAATCATGCGGAAAATAAAGATTAAAATCATTGAATCGTAAATATAATAATTTCGTATTAGAAGCCTGTGCGTGGGCATTATAAAAAACGAGGAAATAAACAAAACATAATTGCCGCACGTGGAATAGGTTTGATAGGAGGTTATATTATTATACGATTGGACACTTTCCAGTCAGACGGAAAAGAAATATCATAAGTTCAGCACATCTGAAAAAGTAATGATATCGCTCCTTGAATTCTCCCTGTTTCATGTGCAAAGTTTAGTTTATACAATACTACACACAACTTATTTTTTACAAAACAAAAAAAAATTAACAAGCACATTTTACTAAGCTTACTCAGTGTAATGTGGAGTTCGCATGAATTTCATCAATAAAAACTGCATCCATTTCAAATAAAACATGATTGCGAATCGAAAAATGGGTTTGCACGCGCACGCACAACTTCAAATAATCGTATTTTATGTGAATTCCACTCCGGGAATAAATATACTCACACACACACACATTCGAATACAACTGGATTAAAAAAACTGATGTATTTAAAAATAGATGAATGGTACATAATAAAATATTTAAAATAAAACTGAATGTTGTTTAAATAACTTGAAGCTTATGCGATTAAATGGCAATACGAGTATATGGGTAACTCAATAAAATTCCAAATATGCTACAAACAAAAACACAAACGAATTAAAATCGTATACATTACCC